GAAAATTTCTTTCAGCAGCAGGTAATTCAGAGCTCAGCCAACTCGCTTTGCTGTACGCCGGCTCCCTTCTTCTGCCTGTCCCAGACTAAACCCCCTAAAAACACACAACACAAACCAAGTCCATTATTAAAAAAAACCCAAAAAACAACCCACAGCCAGGCCCTCTGCGATCAACAACAGGCGTAAGGGGAAACATGCCCCGACATTCAGGATGGGGAAAGAAAATAAGTTGCCGGAGCACACAAACACCTGACAGTCAAATAGGATGAACCAAATCCCGCGGCCCCTCTTCAAGCCCTGAGCCTGACCCCGCTGAGCACCCTGCGCTCGGTGCTCGCAGGAAAAGCATCGTCTGGTTTCTCTGTCCTCCTGCAGGAGCCGGGGCTCCCCCCCCCCCCGCCACCTCCAGCCAGTGCTGCATCCCAGAAGAAACTTGAGGATTTATGGATCCCTCCGTGATGTCCCTTCTCCCAGGTGCCGGAGTACAGCACGTTCAGTGAGCCCAGAGCCCATCCCTCGTGTGCCCGCTAAAACCACCCCACTGCAGGCACGTCCACGACTCTTCTTTCTGCGTGAAACGCAGCAAACTCATATCTAGAGCAGACGCAAACCCCGTAACCCCAAATGATGGTCTCATGGCACGCCCCCCCCGACACAGACGTGACCCTACCAAGCGGCAGGCAGGACCCCTGACCCGCGCTTCCGCATGCACAAGCGGCGCCGAGGAGGGGAACCTTTGGGAAGGGGATACTTACACATGCCCCCGATGACCCCGGCAATCCTGCAGAGCCACCTGTACCACCAGGTCATGCCATCATCGGCGGAGGAAGCCGCTGGGTCAGGGGCTCCTGCTTGGAACTGCTCATCCTGAGAGCTCATCGCACCCCTGCTCCCGGGGGGGTCAGGGGGCAGCACCCCGCTCCCCGCCTGAGCCCCAGCAGCGCAGGATGCTCCCCCAACCCCGCCCCGGGCGCCCCCCCCAGGGCTGACAAGGGAGGGTCTCTGCCCGCAGCAGCGATGCCAGCGGCCGCGGGAGCTGCCTCCACGTCTGCCTGCGTATTGCATTGTGGGTCCCCTCCTCCGGCAGGCAGGGCTTTGATGTCACTCTCATTAAAAGGCTGGTGGGCAGAGCCCGTGGTGTGCATATTCATAAGCGGCCGCGCAGGAACACACTCCACGCCGGGGTCTGGGGTGCACCGGGGCTGGGGGTCCCGCTTCCCCGGGCTAACAACTGGGTGCTGTTCTCCAGGCAGCCGGTGTGTGCTCGGGAAGAAAGGGAAACAGGAATTTTGGCATTAACGTGAATTTAACAGCACCACAAAATTCTGCCCTCGGCACATAGAGGGAAACACTCCCCTTAATCTGAATGGAATGGGGTTTTCTCCCTAGAAAACAGGAGCAGAAGTAGGACTGTGCAAGTCAGAGATGTCCCCGTTGGCAATCTGTTGGTATCCAAACCAATGGTACAGGGAAACAGCCTTAATTCTCTTAAATTATAAAGAAAACAGCTGCATTTTTTGCAAATTAACATGGAACATAGAGTTAGCAACCAGAGCCCATCTCTGCAGACCGGGGACTCTGCATAGTTGATCTGGGAACAGTAAATAGCAGTGAGACTTGGGATCCAGAGCAGAGTGGGAAGACAGATCCCATCTGCTAAAAGGTTACAAAAAAGGATTAAGAAAAGGATGTCTTTTCATTAACGTCTCCTGTTCGGCAGGAAATGAAGGCCCAGTGCCTGCATCACCCACGCACTGCAGTGGGATAGCCGATATATCCAGCTCCTCGAGGATCTTGCTTCAAGAATCTACTTTCTAGCTTTTCCAGGAATGGAACGTAAATCTGGAGGCTGGCAAGGAAAAAACTCCAGACTTAACCAGCAGAAAACAACTATTAAGAGGACAGAAGAAAATCAGATTTTGCGGTTGTTAAAAGATGTCAGAGGATTCAACTGAAAGAAAGCAGAAGCAGAGTTAAAACTGCCCAGGCAGAACCATTTCTTGCATCCGGTGTGAAGAGCAAGGGCAGATGTGTCCATCCAGGCTCCAGGTGCAGAAAAGACCCCTGAAGCAGTATATTGTGATTTCGAGGAAGATGACAGCTTTGGACCAAAGCATGGCCCAATGTTCAAGATATTAAATAACAACAACCTAAAATATGTACTGAAATCAAACTTGAGTGAATACTTGTCACTGCTCTAAAATACCTCTTCCTGCTACAACTCGTATCGTGCAGTCTCAACAATCTTGCATTGCACAGTTCCTGCGAGATGAAGATACAAGCAGATTAATAGCACAGCTACTGTTCTTATCTAAGTAAGTGTGCCTTGGCACCAAACCCATCATTAAGAGACAGAATTCTTTTATTTTCCCATAGAAAAGACGTACTGGTATCACTGTCACATACATAATAGCGGAACCACAGAAGGGGTGGCTGGGGAGGGACCTCTGGATGTCACTTAGTCCTCCCATACAAAGCCAACTGATACCAGGGTTTGACCAGGTCAGCTGTGCCTTGGTCTCACCTGAAAACACTCGAGGATGCCGATTCCATCAGCTTTCTGGCTTTTCTGACATCTCCTACTGTTCCACTACCCTCCCAGGCAAAGAAACTGTCTTGCCCCCACACATTTGTCCAGTCTTCTTGTGCTAGCCGTTCGTCCTCATACACATCTTTGCTTTCTTTATAACATTCCAGAATTTCAACAGACCTCAGTTTTAACGGGAATTTACACCGCAGGAGAGTGAACTTAACGGGTAAACCATAATCGTAGCTACTTCTGGTATACAGAGGTTTGTAATGGGACACTGAGCCGCTGGGAAATTAAATGACTATCCTAAAAGGTCCCAGCGTATTACAGAAGCAGGACCCTGAGTCTTCAGTGTCCAAGTCACCAACTGCAGACATGTAAACTGCATTAATACCAATCGACACAGGCAGAAAATCTGTACGAGGACTATTTGCTAAATACTTGGTAGCTACATGTCTTTTATACAACCTTTATAGTTATTAACTGAGATCCCAAAGGAATCAGTAGATATTATTGTTCTTACTCAATAGATGGGGAAACAGTTGCAAAAAGATTAAACGACTCGTGTGACCTCGAGCAGTGAACAGGCAGCAGTGACTAACTGGACCACAGCCTTTCTCACTGCAGGGACCCTGGCCCATTTTATTTGGGCTCAACAGCATGATATTCAGCCCAGAAACTGGTCCGGTGATCCTTAACATTTTCATGAAATTCAATTTCAGCTTGACTTCCAGATGATTGCCAGAAGAATTGTTGTTTCCCATGGAACACCATCGTCTTCATGGTGCTTACATCACGGACCTGCATCAGGAAAGACCAAACCATTGTATCATAAGTATAAAGTACCCACAAAATACTGGGGACTTGCAAATTGGTCACTCAGGGGGAAAAGCTGCCCTATGCCAAGGTTAGAAGAAATACAGTGGGCATGAGCAGTGCTCATTCATGTCTACATTCACATAACAGAGATCAGAGTGTGACCCTCTAGGATTAGTAACTGAACTTTGCATCTAGATGGAAACATCTAATGAGGAGATGGGTTCGTACCCATCCAAACTATCCTCTTTAGGTTTCTGACTCACCAGGATGTAATTAAAATGTGTTCGGTTGCTCTTATTGCCCAGGTCAATATATAGGGCGCGGATAGCTATGCGATGCCGAGGAGCCACATTGATGAAGGTGCGACACACTACTTCTTGCTGTCGATCAGGCAATTGCACAGGATTCTCTATTTCACCTTGGGGACCAAACAGCTGCTTGTCACAGTCTGAGAGGGGGAAAAGGAGCAGAAAAGAAAATGATTTAGAGAAATGTCCAGCATCTCCAAGAAAGAAATCATTTAAATTAAACACAGGCAGAAAAGTTTCTCTAAGGATTTTCATCTGGGAACCTCCAAGCATCAGCAAACACCTGCAGAGGGCTTGCCTTTAAAATGGAAGGGTAGTCTACAAGTAATATTAATTCCAACACTCCTCAGGAAGGGGCTTTTTAGCTGCTAAAGATGAAGCAAGGTTTCCCCAGATTTCCACAGGCAGCCATGACCTGTGGAATTCTGCGGGCATTGTCACGTGTGCCTTAATCTAAAGCAATAGCAAAGCTTTCAATAAGGTACCTTGGTAATATTTTTTAGTTGCAGTTCTGCTGTTGTACCGAAGAATGACCCCATTTCCTGGCAGCAAGACACGCTGTTTCACAATCAGTGTATTCGTTCTGGAATTTATCAGTGACAAAGGGAGCTTCCTGCAGCCTGTCCGCCACATCATTCGCCCAGAAAACAGCACTACCTCACCTGGAATGGAAGAGCACAGAGACTAGAAACACTTTTACTTTAAGTAAATGGCCATAACCTATCTTACATAGGTCTGGAGTCAAGTAATTTTTGCATCTTGTCCCTATCTTATCAAAATCTGCCATGAAAACAGTCCAGTTAACTAATCTAACTGTACTGATTCCAGCAAGAGGGTATATTACAGAGAGACTTTATAACAGGCCAAAGCAATCAGCTTCTTTAAACGCGTAAAATCCTTTCATCCAGTATCTATCAACAAAACAGGTAAGAAAACATTACGTAAGGGAAGGAAAGGCATCATCTTCATTTAGTCCTATCTGGCAAAGACTTGGTGGGACAGAAAGACTCGGTTTCAGAGCTTACATAGGCTCCAAGGCAGCAAGAACCATTCAGGGCCCCAAAAGCACACAGGCAAACAAGGTGCAGATTTCCCAAAAGGTCTAGGCTAGTCCCCAGCATGCCCTGGACCGTACCTGCACTGCAATTGAGGGAGCTCTCCAGGACACTGACTGTTATCTCCTCCCCAAGAGGACGTCCGATGGCCACAGTGCAGTCGCTGCTCTCTACACCCGTCATGTTGATGACCCCAGTGGCATTAAGAAAGAGCTTTCCACAGACACCTGTACAGCAAAGACAGATGAGAAACACATCCAGAAGGAAGTAGAGCTGCTGAAACACAGTTCCCATTCCCTCGTGGCGCAACGAACAGACAAGTGCCAACAGTGTGCCCACCTTCCAGGTAAAGCACGGGAAGAGTCAGCTGCTGCCCCAAGGAATCCCAAGTCAGAAGAGCTTTGGGAAGCCCTGGGAAGGGATTCATTGTTCCCAGCTCATGGCATGCTGGAAGGAGCAGCATGTTGTCTTTCCTAACCAGGAGTATTTCCTCCTGTGTTCCTGTCCTTGTATGGCAGTACGATCACCACAATCCAGCTGTGTGCAGTAAGCACCTATCTCTCTACCTTTTGGCAGTGTCCTCCTCACCTCCACTGGACTCCTTTGTGTGTTCCTGAGGCACAGCTGGCACAGCAGATGGAGGAAGATCCAGGTCCTTGTATCTCGCCTCTTTGGCAGTTGCAGCTGTCGTTAAGTGCGCGGCTGGTGTCACTGTCTGCAATTCTGCTCCGTGGGACCCGTTCCCCACCGCCTGCTCAGGACAGGGCCCTGCGGAGCAGCCACGTACCACAATGGCCTTGGGGAAGTGCCTGCAGAAGATGGGGTTCACGTGCTTGCGGGTTAACGGGTTGAGGCAGAAATCCTGCCGTGTCTGAATGCCATTCCCACACGAAGTTGAACACTGCAGAGGAAGAAACCCACAGGCCTTTACACATGTGTTTCAGTTGGTATTTAGAAATAAATATTACTGGCTCAGGCATGATCTGAGGGGCTGATCTTTTTTTGTTCACTGATGCTGTTTCTATCACTTGCCCTTTCAGTGCTCTAGTTTCATCAGCTATAAGATGGCCCACATTCCAGGGGATCTTCCAAACTCTATCTTTGAACTGAACCACTTCCCAAAAATTCCAAAAAGGTATGCCTTTCAGAAGAAAACATGCCAAAGACCATTTTTAAACTGCAGCCAAAACATGAGAAACATGGAAAACAAACCTACCGCTGCTAAACGTAGGACAGTGGAAAGGGTGGAAAACATCCCTAGAAACAGTTTAGCATTTCTGTGGGAAGTAAATATACAAGGCAGAACTGGTATTCTTCACTGCATGCTTTAGAGAAGTGAACAGCTATAAAACCGCTGCACTAGACACCATGTGCTGATCCGAATAGGAGCAGATACCTCTGTCCACTCGCTGAAGCTCCATTCATAAGAACACATTCGGACGACACAGGGGACACTGGTAAGGGGCTTCTCTGCCACAGGACACAAACGCTCCTCCAGCAAAATCTCCTTGCCTTGGTGAGTCTGCACACAGGTGACCAGCTGAACAGCTAAGCCGAGCCCACAGCTGGAGGAACAGGGGCCAACTGGAGTTACCTTCCATCTGACAGAGGACATGGAGGAGAAAAATTAAGTTAGTGAGGAATCCCCATCCTCTACTATCTCTCACTCTAGAAAATGCACTGCAACTCCCTCATCCTTCCCCCTTCTGCTTGTCGGCAGCTTTCTTCACCACTCCGCCTCACACGTTTTGCTGCCTGTGGTACTTAGAAGGGGCAGCCTTTGAAACAAGGCTGGGCAGTCCAGAGCAGGTTTGGAGTTAGACCTAAACAGAGGGCATTCACAGTTGCATAAGCCCGCAGACTCGAAAAATACACTGAGTCACTCTGAGTCCATTACAGTCTTCCCTAGAGTGACACACATAGGCTTAACTGCAAAAACAATTTTATCTCCCTCCAAAACGCACACCGCTCTGAACAGTCAGATCAGAAACCGACCCAGGATATTTCATCGTGGAAGCGGCATCCTGCAGCACGTAAAAGCAGTTCAGACGCCAGTGGCTTTCCAGTCCCACAGCAACTAGGGCAGGGCAAGCTCTGCCCCATTTTTCAAACCTAAGCCATATCCTAGATTCCACCATACGCGTTCACGGATAACTGCTCTTCCCCAGTGCATGCTCTTGTGGCCCATAGGGCCATTTTGACCTCGGAGGGCACAGCTCCAAATTACACAGCTCCTGCTCCTCTAGGCGAGGCAAACCACCACACTGGGTGTCTGCCACAATCTATTCTGCCTTCTCCCTGGTCTCCCTTGCACAGTAGAGGACCTTGTACATCACACCTCCTCCACAGCTTCCACTGCATGAGCCCATTTTGTAATGCCACCTGGGAATAACGCAGCTACCAGTGAGCACCTCCAGCTGTCACCCACCTTCCCTGGATTCTAAATCCAACCAGTCTGTGGAAGAACACCTGGAATTGCGTTAATACACACATACACACTGGTTCATGTTTGAGGGATCACCAGTCACCCCACTAAGTGCAGCCTACGATACCATAAATCCAAAGGAAAGTGCAATCAATTATTTCCTTCAGTTCTCGAAGCAGCTATCCCAGATTCTTAGAGCATTTAATTCTAGCTACTTTCCTTGATGCTATGTGGAAACTGTACAGCTGGCAAATGTGTCACCATCTTTTGCAGTTATGGATTTGTTCCTACTTCACCAGGGTAATACGGGATCGAGTGGTTTTCAGTTTTTCCCTGGACTCAAACTCCGAAGACTTCGCTTAGTTCTGCCTGAGAATATACCAGCCCAGGAAAGACTCTCAGTTAGTTTGCTGAGTATGGATCACTGCTACTGTTTTTGCAGCTGGCTGTGCTTTCAAAGCAGGGGAGAGGAAGATAATATCCTCAGAGTAGCTTGACCCTTACTTTGCCATGTCCCTGGAGATAGACAGAGGAAGGAAAGACCTCTCACTGGCTCGTTGTCTCCTGGTAACTGCTTTACCTTGGTGGGCAGGGACTGAGATCACAGACTTCCACCCTGCTCTCTGGCTTTGGCACTGGATGACAGTTTTCTTCTTGTGTTTCTTCTTTGGTGTCAAAAGCCACACATACATAGTGTAGCTGAGTCTTACCTAGAAAGGGAAGCGATTGCATGCAAGGGTTGCAAATAAGCCAAGCAGTGTCAGTCGCATCTGTGTGCACAAAATAAGCTGACTCTGTCCAAGCCCCAGGCACACTTATTGCACTCATCCCCCCACAACTCTAAACCAAAGCAGCAGCCAGCCAGCCCTCTAAACTATTCTTTGTCTGAGCCAGGCCCCCTTGCCTCTTCCAGCCTCAAAAAAATTGTGACTACAGCTACACATGCACTTAAAACTGTAGAGGGGAAAAGACCAGGTCCCTGAGGTTCCTAGGCACTGAGCTCACATCTACAGCCAAGTCACATTTCCCTGCAGCACTGAAAGATCTCACCTCTACCACAGGAGACGGAACACTCTCCAGCTAGAGGACTCCAGACATAGACGGTCTGATTTTCCAGTTGGACATTCCCAAGTGACTCTGAAGTCTGAAGTAAGTGTGCATCTTCCTCCTCAGAACAAAGCAAAGAGACCCAGACTGACATTGGCACCTGCTTTCCACACTGGTCCCGATCTAATGAAGCCAGAGGATATTTCCAGATCAAGCCTACAACATACTTGCTGTCACTGAAGAAAGAGGCACATTTAAGCACTTTCTCCATTTTTGCAGAACGTATAAGTACCATGAATAGCTAAGGACATCCAACAGCCAAACCCCCCGTAATTCACACTACCTGAAGAGGGATACCTGAGACTGGAGATGCCTAAAGCAGTATCTTCCCCATCTGTAAACGTAAACCTGGCAGTGGCTCCCCAGTACAGATTTGGACCAGTGATCCTGCGCTGAGAAGCCCTCTTCCCTGCTAGCAATCCTCCCCACCATCTCAGAACCTCTCTGTTTGCCAGTGAGGTATTTACCAGTAGACCAGGTGTTATTTCTGTTTCTGGTTTTGTTGAACTCTGAGACGAGAAATCAAGAAGGAACATAGTCAACAGCTGCCCTAAACAAACCACCACTATGAACTGATGAACCCGGCAGCATAAATTAAGGGGGACAGAGCTGTCTAAAGTGACAGGATGAACCTTTAACTGGGCAGACATCCTTGGTATAAACCAACCTCCCAGACTCCAGTAATAAGGTGGTTCTTCTTAACCGGTAGCCTTCTGTGGACCACAAATGCAAAGCTCCCAGTAAGACTTCTGAAATAAGCCAGGCCAATAAACTCACTTTGTCCCAGCCCAAAGGGCACACATTAACCACACACGGCACAACGGAGAGGGGTTTTTCTTCTGCTGGGCACAAGCTGTCATCCACAACAGTCTCCAATCCATCATGAAACTGAACACAGGTTAGATTCTGCTGGGCAACTCCAGTTCCACAGACAGCAGAGCATTCATCTCTCTGAGACATCTTCCACCTGAATGGGAAGTAATTGTGTCACCGTATTTCTCATCTGGATCGTGGAGGTTTATTACTCATGCCGCTGATTACAGAAATGGGTCATACAGAGTATTCGGCTTCTCTATCTCAAAAGCCTTGTCTGGATGCGATTGAGAGGGCAACTACTGGAAATTTAAGTCCGTGCACTGACAGCTCTTTAGGACTAAAAGCACCTAAGCTAAAGAACTATAGCTCTCAGTGTAATCACTTTTTATTAAACAATAAAATGTCTACAAGATCAACGTCTGGGTAGGCTTGGCTCTTCGTCTCTTTCCAGTTCTTGTGTTACAAGGGTCTCCTCCGGAGTAAGACCAAATCTTTGTTGGCACAATCTTGGAAAGGATGTGAGCAGACGTCATCTTCTGGCCATGCCCTCATAGTATTTTCATTTACCAGACTACTGTAAAATATCGGAAGGACTATCTCACATCCATTCAGCTGACATCTCAATTACCTCATACGACCAGGAAAGACAGAACGTGGTTTGGGATCCACTACACCATTATAATTAAGAAGAAACTACTTCATACCTCTCCGTTTTTTTTTTTCCTCACCTTGCACAATGCAAATGAGACTGCAGAGACTGGGTTAACTGGTGGAGAAAGGACACACGAAGCAAGAATTCAGCTGAGCTTCAAGGAACACCAACCTGTACAGGCACGGCTCCATAGCACAGGGCTTGTGCTCCGAAAGGGGCCGTGGGAGCTCCAGACACCACTGATTCTCTGTTATTTCATTCTTTGTCTGGTCAAAGCACACATGATCCACTGGTCGTGTCCCTAGGATACAAGAGGAAAAGGAAAGAAAGTTATAAACAAAGTAAACAGCTCACCTCTATTATGCCAGAAAGATGCAGTAATTTTGCTTTACTCAAATCATCTGTGTAGGAAAATGGCGTATTTGGGAATACAGACTTTCTATAAACACAAAACCCCCTTCTTTCTGATATAACTTTTCCTCAGGAGTTTTAAAGTGACTTTCCAAGATGAACACCCCAGAAGATGAGAAGTTTGATGGATAATCCACTGCCAAAATGGAAAGATTGCTCTAAACTGGCCGTTTGCAAGAACAAGGATATCAATCATAATTTGGTCCAAATTACTTCTGATGATCTTGATGTCTGACTGATGAGGGACAGGTTGCTGAAATAAGCTCTAGCAGTCAGCCATTTTTAAATTACATTCTGTAGAACCAATCATGTAACATCATCACGCAGCCTTTGTACCCAGACAGCACCGTGCCAGTGTCCCCAAAGTGATCACCAATATCCAAAACTAGACTAGAGGTACTGAGAGAGAAACTGCAGACTTGCATTGCCTGTGGCATGCAAGAAATTAAATATTCATAATCTACAGCTATAAACAAGATTTTTAACTATACTGAACCTAACGGGTAAAACGGGTGAAAATCCAAACTCAAAAAAGTTACAAGCAAAGCTGTAAAGGGTCTCCTTTGCAGTGAATGAGCTACCCACAAAGAGAGACAGGAATTCCTGACTCTCAAAGAGCATGACCCTGAGAAGCAAATGTCAAGAATCAATCAGCAGTGCTATCTTTTCACTACCCTCCTCGTTTTCAAATAATGTCTATTGATAAGCAGGGCCTGAGCATCACTTTAAGCTCTCAAGATGCAATTTCAGCTCAGATTCTTGAATTTCTGTTAAGTCCCACCTTTCTCATTTTTTGTTTCTGACTGCATTACCTGGGAGGCCCTAGAGCATTTTGAGTTCTTTACTTCAGCGTTTCAGCAATCAGTCCACCTGGGGAATCTGCTGGAGAAAAGCTCTCCAGACATAACTAGTCCTATAGATTGACTTCCATAAGTATTCATTAATGTATTTTCTAAATCCTTGACATAACAGTCGTGAGATGCTTGCCAGTGTCATCTGTATTATCTGGTAAACAAGATGTCAGACCATCTACCAGAGGGATCTGTTACAATCTGCATTACGATTTCTTCAGAGAGACAGAAAGGATTAGCCACGGCACAGGAATAGAATTCTAAGAAGGAAGTTTCATAATTAGCTCTGAGGCTTTACTTAGACACTAGATACCACTCTGGTCTCAGACATTTCATGTTCAGCCAACTTCAAATTACAGTCTTCAATACCTTTGAAAAATCTGAGAAAATTATTTCATCTTAAAACCAAAAGTTCGGTTAAAACCTCTTTAAAAATCCTCTTCACGATCGAACATTTTCACTATCATTCTGATGATTCAGCTCATTTGCTGATTTGCTAATTTAATCCAAAAGCTGTACCAGTCTTTTAGTTGGTTCAGTTTAATGCTGGCAACTTTAGCTCACTTTCAGCAATTTGCTTTTAAATTCAGTTCAGCTGTTTAATAAGTTCTAACCAAGTATCTACTGCTGGTGCCACATTTCTTTCAGTCAGCCCAGGAGAGCTCATGGAGTAAAGATCTGGGTGACTACCAGCCAGCCAAACTAGAAGTCTGCACAGATCTCTGTAAAAAGTAAAGACTGAGTACTGCTGCCTCACCTTCCCCACAGGTCACTGAACACGGCCCCTGCTGAGGAATCCACGTATACGTCAGATTCTCTTTGGGGACAAAATAGCTGAAGGTGATGTCTGGGTTGGTGGCATTGCCATATTCTTTTGCATACCTTCGATAGACCTGGTGAAGGAAAAAGCTGTGGTCAATGCACAAATCAATGCAGACTCATTTCTTAGGACGAAGATAAGAGAAGCTAGTCCCTCTTTTCCATCCAATCCTGAGCCTCAATGCTATGACTCTCAGTTCTTGCCAGATGCAGTCAGAGTACTCACCCTGTGCATTCTGTCGGCAGGGCACTGAAAAAAGATTAGGCCAAGCACAAGGTTTAACGTGGCATGCTTTCCCCCACACAACCATCCCCCAGACCCACAGAAAGCCTGTAGGCAGGCAACCCTCAACACTATCACTCTTAGTGAACACCACCTCCACTGCCCTTGGACATGAAGCCTACCACACCTCGATTCTGCACTGCAGCAGAGCTACACAAACTCAGCCTGGCCAATTCTGACTGGCCCTTTTCCAACTCTGCTATTTTAATTTACCTGTATTTCAATTTCTTCTTGTGTTGGCCCATCCACATGGACTTCCTCCAGGCTTGGCAGGTTGTCCTTGGTGAGAAACACTTTGTACTTGATCTGGCTGTCCTCCAGAACTGACGGATAGGTGACATTCAGTGAGATTTTTCCTTTTCCAGCAACCACATACTCTCCTTTAACCTTCACAGCTAGAGAAGCAAAAGTACAGTGAGGTTAAGAGATATAATGTGGACCCCCCGGTGCTGACAGCTACAGACTGCCCATTTGCTAGAAACCAGTTTGATCAAAGTCAGGCATCCCAAAGAGCATGGCTTCTATCGCTTCTCACTGGAGACCATCCCACAAACAAATTGCATCATCAAGAACTTTCCTCCCAAATTTCATTTTCTGGTTTTCACAAGCTTGTTGTAGCCCTGCCTGTAGTCCCTCCTTTCCTTTTCATTCAACTCACCCAAATGTGTGAAGAGTGGTCTCCGATTGGTAACGTGGACCAAGGTGGTGTTATAAGGCAGGGATAGAAATGTAACGTACTCTGGAAGGATGGAAAGAAAGAAGATATGGTCACCTTCCATTCCCGTACCTATGTTAAAAAGGCTGGGGATTACAGAGCAACCCCTCTTTACCTTACTAGCACACTATCCATTGTAGGACAGGCCTTACAGGCAGCAAGAGAGCTTAATTGCAGACAGAGGTTATACAGCTAATACAAAAAAAAATAAGGATGCAATAGTGATGGCCAGCAGGCTAAATTCACACTAACCTTAGCTCTATCACCTTGGCTTTGGCTTGAACATAGTGATGGTTGAATACAGCAAACAAAACTGAACTGAATTCTGTGTCCCATTCTCATCTTTTTTGTTGTTGTTGTTCTTTTTATGTTCTCTGCTAATATCTGTATGCGATATCACAAGAGCCAGTTTAGTCCCAAGTGGATGTTTAACATCTCAGGAAGCATCTGACACAGCTCCCAGCTCCCAGTAATTTGCTGGACTTCCCAAATGGCTACATTTCTGGTCCATGTCCAGAAAAGAACTATGACCAAAAAAGTCACTCTGCCTACACAACAGCTACCTCCCAGCTACCTCTTAGCTGCCTTCTCTGTTGACTACCCAAACTCCATCACCATATCCTCCATAAAATAAAAACAAGCAGAAGCAGAAACAAGAAGTCTCATACAGAAGATTATGAACACTGAATATGAATACAAATATGCAGCATACAAACAGTACCAGAATGTTGAGCCTGAGGATGAGGACTACACACCTTTAGCTTTTCCTTCTGTGTAAGATCCACTGATACTGGTGCAAGTGGTATTATCACCCCCACAGACCTTGCAAGAGTCCATTACCTTCTGGGAGTCCATCCGGCCATCACACCCGAATGCCTGAGCAAAGGGGAGAGTCTGTCAAGCCTTGCCTATTCTGAGAAGAAAACAAGTGAATGAAAGCAGCATTGCCTGAATTCCTGAAACTGCCTTTTTCATTTGTAATTCGAATTTAAGAAGACAACATGGACAAAGATGCATTTTTACCTAGATCCACCACTGCACAGCAGCATGCAAGGCCAGGGATTGGAAAGTCTTACCTAAGAGCACAAGTTTCATTAGTTGTGTGTCATGTTCTTTCTCATAAGAAGTAGCCCAGAAAGATTTCTCCTGTGACCTAAAACAAAGGCTCTGCACTCCCTCTCTTTTACGAACTCTTTCTGGAGGTGGGGGGAAGCCCAGGAGAACAGTAAACATGAATGGCAGATTCTAAAGGAATCTTTAGCTCCCCAACCCCCAAACCCAAACCTAGCTCACATCCTTCAGCCTGGCCTTTGATCCCATGGAGCTCAGAAAAGAGATTCTATCCTCATTCCCACGAACAAGACTAATTTACACAAAGCTACAGCAGGATCTCAGCAGGCTTAGCAGCAAAACACGTGCAACTGCTGAATTTATGCTAGAGGCACTGATCCCAGGCTTTGGATGCTGCCGTAACATACATATTTATCACTGTCGCCAACAGAACAGCAGAAATCAGAATAGATTATGCCTACACCCTCTGCTGTTCATTAGGCGGCAATGCATTACAAAACATTGTGAACATGAGGATAATGAGAAAAACATAAAACGTTAAAAGTGTATTCTGGGAATGTAAAAAACCAACAGAAAACATACAACCGGGTCACCATTGAGCAGTTACTAAAATGCAGACAGCGCGGGGGAGTTATATTCAAGTTCATCATGAAAGAATGTCTTTCTCATGTCCAATCCAGGGGAAAAAAAAAAAAAGTTATACTTCAGTTTTGATTAGTGATACTGCAAAAATCAATTTGTCAACTTGTGATTCCCAGGTTTTACTCCTTATTTTGCCACCGACTCGGTACGTTCAAATCATGTCACATTCCTCCAACAGAGTCAGCGTTTTATAGGGCTATTTATACCATGCCAACTGCACAGCTAATGATGTCTCCTCAACCACCACATAAACCAATTGCTTCTTGGATCAGGGATGAATAGCCTTACGTACTTACTGCATAATGAGCAGAATGTCTTATCTAGAGGGCATTGGCATTGGATGCACAGACAGAGCAGTAGATTGTTGGACTCCATCCAATAAGCTTAGAACAAAACTCTCTTCTTTTGAGAAGACCTCGCCCTTTTTTTGGGACACTATGTTTTTTTCCCCTGCTCCTAGCAAACTGACTCCTTTGGTGCAGGTTACATGTCAGAGGTTCGCTTGGATTCGCCAGTGACTTACTTTGCAGCTTCCCATTACACACAGATTGAAAGCCCCGTGGTGTTCAGAGTCACCCTGCTCACATCTGGTTCCATCTATGAAACTGTCTTCGCGGCTTACCATGAATTCGTTTTCAAGAGCCCTGCACATGTGCTTGCATAGCAGGTCCCCTAGAGGAGGCAGACAGAAGAAAGGAGTTACGCTTTCAGAAAGGCACGTGGCTGACCATCAAGCAATGGGAAGAAGTCAAAAGGATCTGACAGAAAGGGTATCCAAGTTTCCCATGAAAACCAAAATAATCAGTGAAACAGCCTTTTGAGTTCAAAGTACAGACAGGTGCATAAGCGCTCCCTTCACAAAGAAACCACGGTTTCTCAGTCTTTCCTTACCTTTGGCAAAGCCAACAGCAGAAGTCCAGGTATAAAAGGATGGCGCTTCTACAGTGAGATACAGCGGTTTTAAATTTGTTGCGGCACATTGTTCAGCCATAAAGTCCTGCTGGGTCATCAAACAGGCCTGCATCCCAGAGAGAATCGTAATGGGTAATGAAAGGAAATTACTGAGCACAGAATCCCAAGTAGCATTTTACCCACTAGCTAAAGGCAGAAAGCCGGTAAGTAGAACACCAAAACAACTGCAAATAAAGAAAACCACTTCAAAGGGAGGCTGCGGGATATGCAGAGAATTGTGTTTGGAAGCTGTGATCTTTGCTATTTATACAAAATAAATGCATAAGGAAAATAGGAACAATATAAGAATGTCCCTCTGAAGAAAACTATTATTGAGTCATTCTTTTCTCAGTGTCTGTCCTGCTATGAAGGCATACAGAAAATGCTTGATTACACGTGAACAATGCTATCAAATAGTACTTCTGTCTTCAGACACAGTGGAACAAATACCTCCCCTGTTGTCAGACAGATGGAGGCTGTAACACAGATCTTTAGTCGTCCTTCCCAGAGCGATCAGCTGTGAGAAGTAGTCCCAAACCATACAGCTCTCAGAGGGTTAAACAGCACTAAGAAAAAAGCTCAGAAGATGCAATCAGCCACATT